CATAGGAGCTCCCCATACCGGAGGAGCCACAACAATATCATTTTCAAACAACTCACAAATAAATCATTTATTTCTTTATTCTACCACTCATCTCACGGAGTGTAAAGTAGTCTTGCTACATGGTACAACCACCAGGTCCTCCATAGTACTCCCTCTATTCCACAATGTAGTGCTTCCTCTATCCTCATGCTTCAACTTTGACCGTAAATTTAACTACCAAGACCGATTGCGGCGAGAGTAAAAATTATATCAATGAATTCGTATTCGAAAGAAGTTTTCAATTATATATTTTTTTCTCCCGCCGCAGTTGGTCTCGTTGGTTAAATTTATGGTCAAAGTTGGACCTCGGGAAGTGCGGACGCACTATATTTTGGAATGGAGGGAGTAAAACATTTCATCTACAGATATAACGGCTCCATAGCATTTCTTGTGGATAAAGAAGCAACTAGACCCTTGGGCCATGGATCAATTATGTAGCCTCTACCAGTGTCATCAACAAATCTGACGTCTCGAACGGTTGCTGAATAAATTCCAGGCCAATGCACATTGCCCATTGCGGGACTAGCACTCCCAGGATCAGACATGGTGTAACCACCCCATTGTATATTATTTGCATGGTCTGCCATATTAATGAAAATACTTTTTGGCCAAAATCCAACAACACGAAGGTTCTGATTATCATAACCAAAGTACAACCACCAGTCACCATCATCTTTCTTCTGCAAGAGAATTAAAAGTAACTAGAAATTATTCCAATAACTAGCAAATGACTTGGTGCGAAATGAGAGTCAGTTAGTGATGTCATCATCTAGGCATAAAAATCTAGACCACAAATAGCTCTTTAGGTTACAAATGTTTCATCGCACAGTAAATGATATTCAGTGTGTTCATGTGTTTTAACTATGTACCTTGAATATCTTGATTGTCATCTTAAGTTTCCCATTTTTAGGATCTACAGTGTCTCCTGGAGTGATAGGGGCATTTTGTACAGGCACAAAACCATCACACTTCAAGTTATAGCATCCAATCGATCTATACCCATCAGCCTATTACACAAGACAGTATCATGAAGTGTACGTCAATATGGTATATAGATATTGTCCACCACAAAATATGGTATATGGATAAGAAAATGTAAACCATAATCTTTTCAAAATATTAAACCCGCAAAACCCCTGAGAAATGCAAAAATTAATCATGTACTGTCCATTGTGTAAAGAAATGTGTATTGCTATCACCATAATTAGACAGGCTAACTTGCATTGAAGATTTTTTTTTGATTAAAATACAACCATAAATTTATGGGGTGACATAATAGATGGATTTAAAAAAAGCTACAATCATCACTGAAAAGGAAAATCATGCATTCCACGTAGGTTATGCTTGAGTAACCATCGAGGAAACTTACAATCCATCCGGCCATTACAACGTTTAGACTACCATAGTCATCCCCTTTCTGATTTATCACGCATATTTGTGATGAGCTTGTTTGAGTATTGAAATTTCACAAACCACATACATCAAATGTTCCCATAGCACCGAAAAGAACGGTTTGAGAGTTTGTGGTTGACTCAAAAAGAGCATACTGCGGAAAAATGAGACAACGGTTAATAACACACTTCACAACGTATACTTACAATACAAGGTGTATATAGGCAACTCCATAAGTGGTTTCTAAATTAACCGAGGAACATAAAATCAACCGGGTAATGTATTTTATTATTTTCATGAGGCAAAAAAACATGATTGAAGGAGGGAAAATTCAATATTCTTTTTATGCCAATTCTCTATTTTACCTTTGTAACAAAAAGCCTTCTACCGTAATTAATTTAGTGTGTTTGTGCAGAGAAGATCCTTGGCTTTGTGAAAGGAAGATAAGAAGAGTCGCAAAAATGGAAGAGAATGCACAAATAAACTCAGGTATACAATCAAAACAGAGAAATTTAGCAACAAGCTTCTCCCTTGTTAGTAAATCAAAATAAAGTGTGGTCTATTAAAGTCAATACAAATCCATAAATATGCATCCCTTTTATTACAAATAACCAAATCTATTATATATGTATATATAATGCATCAAATCTAACAATTGTGTAGACAACCTTCAACTTACATAGCTAATTCCACTCTCGCCAGCTTTTGTGGGTAGTAAGCTACCATTCCAGAATGATTATTGCCTCATTTTATTCATATTCTCAGAATATGTACCATTAGGCGATGATATCACAACTTTAGATGAATAAATAATCAACAAAATGAGAAGTTGTTGAAGGCGCACAGCCGGTTGCATTTTGCAACCAGAACTGCAATCCTTCTCTTCAGTGAAGATATTGTCGGGGAAAAGCTAAGTAAAAATTCTAAGGAAAAGGTTTTGCATATTTTGGGTTTTAGTGACACACGCGCGCGCGCGCAGACACACACACAGATATAGTTATTCTTCACCCTGGGTGAGGAATAGTTATTCTTCACCCTGGGTGAGGAATAGTTATTCTTCACCCCTCTTTATTTTGACGTCAATGCATCATATTTTTAGGTTTCGTAAATTTTTTCTTATTTCATATGTAAAAAGGGAACGTAAGAAAATATATACTCGCTGTAAAAAAAT